CTCTGTGTATTTGTTTTCTGTTGCTGCACACCCCTAAAACTTATTTTTTTTATTTTTTATTTATTTTATTTTAATTAATTTAATTTATTTTTTATAATTATTAACAAATTGTTTTTATTTGTTTTTATTTCTTCTTTAATAGAAGCAGCGAAACGCAGCAGGCAACGATTGGGGTGATGAGCGGGGTGTAGTACATTGCTAGCTGCCTATACACCTGAAAAATCTGCATTTATTTAAATAAATAAACTTAAAAAAAATTTATAATTTAATTTAATTTATTTTATTTTATTTAATTCTTTAATTTCAGTTTATTTCTCCTCATTTTTCTCCTATGGCTGCTGCTGCTGCTGCTGCTGCTGCTGCTGCTGCTGCTGCTCGGCATCGGCTGCTGCAGGGTCACTGCTGCTGCTGTTGTTATTGTATGCAGAAAAAACCTAAAATTTTATTTTAAATTAAATAATTTATAAATATTTTATTAAATTAAAAAATAAAATTATATATTTCAGGATTTTATTTCAATATAATACACTACTACTCTCTGCTGTGCTGGGGGGTTCATACTAGGGTGGAGGGGCCCCGGGGGCCTCAGCTCGTTCTTGTTATATATTTGTTAAAAAAAGCTAAAAGTAAATATAAATTAATTTTATATTATTTTATTTATAAATATTATATTAAACTGAAAAAAATTCCGGTATTTAAACCCTGAATTTGGGGTGTATGTACACCTCACATCACCGCCACCGCTCCGCTCAATCTCAGGTGTATGTACACCCCAATTCGCTTCTCTTTTCCCCCGTTTTTCTCTGCCTCTCCCCATGGCAGCAGCCGCCGCTTCTCTCCCCAGGAAGAGCCTGGCTAGCGACTCTGTAGAAGCAGCTGAGGGCTCCGAGCAGCAGCAGCAGCAGCAGCAGCAGCTGCCCACAGCAGCAGCAGCAGCACCAGCACCAGCAGCAGCAGCAGCAGGAGCAGATCCAGATGAAGCAGCAGGAGCAGCAGCAACGAGACAAAGCATCGCTGTAGCCGGTGGAACACCTTCAGCAGCAGCAGCAGCAGCAGCAGCAGCAGCAGCAGGAGCAGCAACCCCTCCCCCACCCGCACAAGCATCAGCAACAGCAGCAGCAACAGCAGCAGCAGCAGCAGCACCTGCTGCTGCACCTCAACGAACATTTTGTGGTGCAGAGCTAGCGCTAGCTGCTTCTCGTCGTCCTCTCTTTTTAACGAATTCTATCATTTGCTGTTCTGATGCTGCTGCGCTGCTGCAGCAGCAAGACAGCCTGCAGCTGTACAGGCAGCTAGATGAGCTGCTGCAGCTCCGCCAGTTCGTGCGGCTGCTGCGGCAGCCCCCACACAGAGATTCTCTATCAGGCCCCTTCAGCAGCAGCAGCAGCAGCAGCAGCAGCATCGAGACAGACTTCGGTATGCAGGCAGAGGCAGCAGAGGAGACAAAGGATGCGCCATCCCTCAGCAGCAGCAGCAGCAGCAGCAGCAGCAGCAGCAGCAGCAGCAGCAGCAGCAGCAGGAGAAAAAGCAGCAGCTCTGGATTAGCTGCTACAGGGAAAGCGGAGGAGGAGAGGGGGCAGGAGACAGCAGAAACAAACCGCCCTTCTGCTGCTGACAGCTCCCCTGCTGCTGCTGCTGCTGCTGCTGCTGCTGCTGCAGGTGCTGCAGCAGGTGCTGCAGCAGGTGCTGCTGCAGGTGCTGCAGCAGGTGCTGCAGTCCCCACAACCGTCGAAG